GCATTGCAATAAGATTTCGCAGTAAAATTTATTGTAGTGCACAGTAAAATTTACCTAAATACTATATTGTCTTACAATTAACATGATTTTCAGGGTAAATTTTAAAAGAAAATTCTCTCCGTGTATCTTAAAATAAATCGCATTTGTCCTCTAAGACACGATGCTGAATCACAGGATTTACTACAATCTTCCCATTGTTCATCCACAATCAAATTAAAGTGTGAAGTGTGCGAAGTCGCGGAAAATTTGTGCAATAAGACACTCCCGTTAAAAACATCTAGTTTTAATTTCGAGCCGAGAGCATTGCTTAAATTTGCACGGTTATCCGAGAATAAAAATCTTATAATTGACAAAGCCTCCTCCAGATAAGATCTCGACTTTCAGCTGGGAGAGCGTGAAGAATTTGGCCTGCCTATAGCAGCTGTAGCAACTAAAACTCTGATCGAGAAACCTTCAATTTCTCTTAACTAGATTCTTTCTTATTGCACACCTGTTCTTTTTTATCATGACATTATTGTTCATGTAATTCCATGTATCTCAGAAAGGTATTTTCAAAAATATTGCTTGGAGATAAAGATCACACACCTTGTTTGATAAGTAAAACAAGCAACTTCCAATAAATAATTCAGATTCTATATTTTAAGAAAACATTTTTCAACAACTTTTATTTAATGCACCGTTAATAATTATTCAAAAAATTCTTCAATCTCCCTTTGTTGACGTTGATTTTCTCGAAGATTTTAGCTGATTCATATAGCATTCGACACTTCAAAGCGGATTAAGGAAACGCAGTAATATCCCTATAATAAATTTACTATATCTATAGCCTATTGCGTACCGTTCCACCTATTTCTACAATGTAGAAATGACGACACGCAAAGGTTGCGTGATCGTGAAGTCGATATTCCTAAACTGTTGTATACCATTATATAGAGAAACATATGTTACTTCCTGCTTACTTCCTATTGCGGATAGGATATACGTCGAGAAAATTATTATGTAGCGTACAACGAAAAACGTACGTGGAGAAAGTGTTTTGATAATTCAACACCTTATTGTAGTCTCTACCGTGTAGTAACAGTTAAACACATGTTAAGCACGTAATAATAGACAAATTAAAATAATGTGTAGTTTCTCTACGATATGTAAAATATGAATACACATACACGATACATCTCCACAAAATTATAGTGAAATCTTAATTTATTTTTCACTTCCCATGCATATTTTGCTAACTTCTGTTGCAGACATTGCAGAGAAGTCTTTTATTTATTGAATTTAAACACACAACACCATTCGTCCCTCGATTATATCGCATACTTCGCATAATAATTTCATAAACGCAAGCCCTCTGTGCAAAATGAATACACGCGGGATATTATATATCCCGATACATTAAGAAAACATATAATACATTCGTTAATTCCTCTCTTCTATATCCGTACGTTGAAATAATATTGCGAATTGTTTCGAGCGGTCAGTAAATTATATATTATAACGAGCTTCAATAAAAGAGCTTCCGCTTATTGCATGTCAGTTTGCATTACGCGTATAGTAGAGTGCAGTCATGCGAAGGAGAATGATATTAAAGGAACTAATCTCCATTGTAAAGTTAAGTGTGTTCCCAAGTTGGTGTTGGCCGTTGCCAAAAAATGCGACAAGATTTAAAATGTTCTGTATGAGATTATATCATTATTGGTGTATTACTATGGCGATATGCCTAATGGCACCAACTATATATGCTATTTCACTCTATCTTAATGATATTGCCATTCTAGCACAACAATTAGTTATGATAAACTCCTGTTGGCACATAATTCAAAATTTTGTCTCTTATCAACGTAATTATCATCACATACGAGCAAGTAATATTTATTTATTTAAAAAATTTAGATGTAAGTTAGCTAAAAAAAATCACGTTTTACAATACTATTCTCCATTAACAATAATACATTTATTTGCAGAATGTTGCTGACAAATTGGAAAATTTTTGCAATGTAATGAAAGCACATGAAGAAGTTATTGTTCAACGATATATTGACAAGTGTATTATAGTCTATGGTATATCTATGTTTACTTTTTATCTGGTCACGTTTGTAATAATCACATTGGTACCTCCTATAACGCATCGACCGTTTCCAATATTAGCCGAATATCCATTTAATGTATCTTATCAACCACTAAAAACAATAATCTTTATACATCAATCTATGATCGGTATAATGATGGCAGCACAACTAAGCACAAATATTTTTATGGCTCTATTGCTCTGGTTTGCATCGATAAGATTTGAGATATTGAGCGAAGAGCTGAAAAAAGCTACAGATTTATATTCGTTATTCCAATGTATTAAAAAACATCAAGAATTACTCATGTAAATATCACAATCCTTATGCGGAAATAATCTACTTAAGAAAAATTTAAGTTATATAAATTTTAGCGCTTAATACATTTAGGTATGCTGAGGAAGTTGCTATTTGTATTCGTCCTTTCGTAGTTTCAACTACAATATGTAGTACTATTGTGCAAATACTTATGTTTCTTTTGATGACCACCGTAAGTACATGTAATGTTATAAAAATTCTAAAACTCATATACATATTTTTTTCCTAAAATTCACATATTTATGCTCAAATATAATAATAATTAACATTATATTTAAAAAGTCAGAAAAAGAAAGTCAATAGAATAATGAAGTAAAAAAAAGAAAGTCAAAGAAAACTGTGTCAATATAGATTATTATAAAAATGTCATGTATATTATTTTTTAAATATAGCGTCAACCTATGGTACTAATAATGCAATTTTTTGGATTATCTGTAACATGTTTAATGGAGATATTCATTCTTGTCTGGCCAGGAGATAACTTAATATCAACGGTAGGTTATTATTTATCTATTAAAATTTATTATTTTATAAATAGTATTTTAATAAATGTTTATTATCTTTCATAGTGCAATAATATCTCAGAAACAGCGTACGATGTATTCGAATACGATCAATCAATTAAGATAACGAAATGTCTGCAAATTATTCTAATGAGAAGTCAAAAACCGATAATTGTCACAGTACCTTGTCTTATTCCCGCATTATCATTTAATTACTTTGCAACGGTGAGATCAAATTTTAAATAAACTAATTCATTACAAATTATCATTCATATTAATTTTTGAAATCTGATACGATTTCATACTCTCTTGCAAAGCTTTTCCCATAAAACACACATTATCCGAGGAACGTTCAGAGAAGGACAGCACAAGGTGTGCTGTATGGGTTATAACAAATTAAATGTACGCACGCGCTACTCATCTCTTCTTCCCTCCCTCCCTTTCACACACACACACACACACACACACACACACATACACATTTTTAAACCTAAATCATTATAACGTTTTTTTTCAAAATTATAGTAAAATTAAGCTAGTTTTGTTATTACTAAATTTATTTATTTAAACAACATTCTAAAATTCATTAAAATCTTGTTAACTTTTTATTTTTTTCAATAGGTTTGTATGTATATATAAAAAAGGAAGAGGGAAAAATAAAAAGTTAAATTAATATTATTACTGTCAATATTATTACTTAATTATTTATAGATAAAACTCTAAAATGATAAATTTTCTTGTATATTCTTAAAAACATAAAGGATCAAATTACAATCAAATCCATTTATTCCTTATTCTTTATTTTCCTATTTCTTTGCCACACTTTTTGTTGTGTATTTCCAACGTTATTTTCGCATTTTCTTTATCACTTTATTATGCATCACTCGCTTTTTCAT